CTTATGCACCCCTATGTGCATTGCAGCATTATTCACCATAGCAAAGAAGTGGAAGCAACCTAAGTGTCCCTCGACTGACGATTGGATCAAGAAGATGTGGTATATATATACAATGGAATACTCCTCAGCCATAAAAAAAGACAAAATCATCCCATTTGCAACAACATGGATGGGCCTGGGGGGTATTATGTTAAGTGAAGTAAGCCAAAAGGAGAAAGACAAACACTGTATGATGTCACTCATATGTGGAATATAAACCAACACATGAACAGAGAAAACTATATTGTGGTTACCAGGGGCAATGGAGGTGGGGGGTGGGCACAAGGGGTGAAGGGAGTCATATATATTGGTGATGGACAAACAAAAATGTACAACACAAAATTTCACAATGTTAAAAACTATTAAAACATCAATAAAATAAATAAATAAAATAATAATTAAAAAAAAGTAATCGTGGAATGCAGCTGCCATGTTTATGGCTGAGCACTGGATTAATGGGAGAGCCCTCTGAAAAATCCTTAAAACACTTTTCATCTCACTTAGCTCGAAAGCATCTCTGCTCTTTGTTACTAAAAAATCATTAACTGCATGTAAAACTGGTGAATTCTGATTAAGGACTTTGGATGTACCAATGTCAATTTCCTGGTTTTAATATTGTACCACAGTTATTCAAGATGTTACCATCACGGGAAACTGGGTGAATGAAGGGCACAGAGGACCTCTCTGTACTGTTTTTTTGCAACTTCCTGTGAATCTGTATTTATTTCAAAACAAAAGGTTTTTTGAAAAACAAGTAATAATTGAAACATTTACCGGTATCTATTAGTTTCCTAGAGCTGCCATAACAAAGTACCACAAACTGGGTGGCTTAAAACAACAGAAATTTATTGTCTCACAGTTCTGGAGGCAAGAAGTCCAAAATCAAGGTGTCCACAAAGCGATGCTCTCTATGAAACCTGCAGGGGAATTCTTTCTTGCTTCTGGTGGTTTGCCAGCAATCATTGGTGTCCCTTGGCCTGTAGATGCACCACTCTAATCTTCAGTTGTCACATGGCATTCTTCCTGTGTGTATTTGTGTCCACATGGCCATCTTCTTATATGGATACTAGTCATACTAGATTAGGGGTCCACCCTACTCCAGTATGACTTCATTTTAACTAGTTACATCATCTGCAACAACCCTATTCCCAAATAAGGTCACATTCTGAGTTACTGGGGTTTAGGACTTCAATATATTATATCTTTTTTTTTTTTATTGAGGTCATAACAGTTTATAGCATTGTGAAATTTCAGTTGTACATTATTATTTGTCAGTCACCATATATATGTGCCCCTTTACCCCTTATCCCCATCCCCCAACCCCTTCTCCTCTGGTAATCACTAATCTGTTCTCTTTGTCCATGTATTTGTTTATCCTCCACATCTGAGTGAAATCACATGGTGTTTGTCTTTCTCTGTCTGGCTTATTTCACTTAACATAATACTCTCAAGGTCCATCCATGTTGTTGCAAATGGCACAATTTTGTCTTTTTATGGCTGAGTAGTATTCCATTGTATATATATACCACATCTTCTTTATCCATTCATCACCTGATGGGCACTTAGGTTGCTTCCACATCTTGGCTATTGTAACTAATGCTGCAATGAACATAGTGGTACATAAGTCTCTTTGAATTGTTGATTTCAAGTTTTTTGGATAAATACCCAGTAGTAGAATAGCTGGATCGTATGGTATTTCTATTTTTAATTTTTTGAGAAATCTTCACACTGTTTTCCATAGTGACTGCACCAGTTTGCATTCCCACCAGCAGTGTATGAGGGTTCCCTTTTCTCCACAACCTCTTCAACATTTGTTGTTTTTTGTCTTGGTAATTATAACACTTCTTGGTGGCAAGTGATACCTCATTGTAGTTTTGATTTGCATTTCCCTGATGATTAGTGACCTTGAACATCTTTTCATATGCCTGTTGGCCATCTGTATACCTGCTTTGGAAAAATGTCTGTTCATATCCTCTGCCCATTTTTTGATCAGGTTGTTTGTTTTTTTATTGTTGAGTTGTATGAGTTCTTGATATATTTTGGAGATCAACCCCTTGTCGGATACATGATTTGCAAATATTTTCTCCCAGTTGGTGGATTATCTTTTCATTTTGTTCTTGGTTTCCTTTGCCTTGCAGAAGCTATTTAGTCTGATGAAGTCCCATTTGTTTATTTTTTCTTTTGTTTCCCTTGCCCAAGTAGACATTATCGTATCTTTTCTTTGAGGGGAACATAATTCAACCTATAACACTATCCTATCAAAGACCTAATTCTAGAGCCTAGTATTTTTCACAATGAAAATCTTTTTCATTCATTCATTCAAAAAATCTTTGGTCTCCTGTCTTTATCAGTCACTATATTAGGTGCTGCGAACACAAAAATTACTAGTATGAAAAGTCTGGCTCAGATTCTTTATCTTTCTTCTACAGGTGTCAAAATCTAAGGCTTCTGACATACTTCTTGAGGAATTCTTAGAAGTCAGTCTTCATAGTCCCACTACAACTGCTCATGAGTGTCCAACAAAGTCCGAGTCCACTATAATTCTGTGGTGCTTTCTCGCTCATTTGTTAATTTTATTTGCCTGGTCCCTGCTCCCCCACTAGAATGTAAGCTCTTTGAGGGTAAGGTCATTATCTGCCTTTATTCCTCCAAAATATCCCTATTAACTAGAAAACTTCTTGATCTAATAGGCACTCAATTATTTTTAAAAGAGTGAATGTGCTACAAAAGAACATTCACTGAATATCTATATGTCAGACTAACTATATATCATCCCTCTCCATTCTCATAACAACCCTAGTAGGTAGATGCTGGAGCTCTAATTCACTCTTGAAATTGAGGCTTCGAGAAGTTTATCAACCTGACACATAAGCATCGGAGGAAGGAGTCAAATGAGGCATGATAACAACTTCAGACCAACAGGGCTTAGCCCAGTTCTGCAGCTGTGGTCACTCTTATGCTCCTACATCCAACTGAAAATGCTCAGTGTCCTACATTTGGGAAATCATCCTATTTAATATACCGGAAATACATTTCATTTTAGTTTCTAGAGGTAAAATCCAAACTGGATAGAATTTCTGATGCTTGAAATCGAAATACTTGAGAGATGTTGGGATTTAAAAATAAAATACATTTGTGCTTTCATCTCATCAGAAGAATTGAATCAGAAGATTGAATAAAACCTCCAGTGGCCAACCACAACAAACCACCACAAGCCAAGCATTCCAAATATGTGGGGTGTTTGAGATCAAAGGCTAATTTTACTTGAAACGCATGTATTTGATCCAAAAAATGACAATTTAAAATCTAAGCATTAAGCTTTCTAAGAATAATTCAAGCCATTTGAAAAGAGAGTACTTCCAATAGAATTCAAATTCTTTATTTTCACAGAAGTTATTTCATAAAAATTATTTTCATATAAAGTTTATTTATTTTTATTTTTTTATTTTTATTTTTTATAATTTTATTTATTTATTTTTCCCCCAAAGCCCCAGTAGATAGTTGTATGTCATAGTTGCACATCCTTCTAGTTGCTGTATGTGGGATGCGGCCCCAGCATGGCGGGAGAAGTGGTGCATTGGTGCGCACCCGGGATCTGAACCCGGGCCGCCAACAGTGGAGCGCGGGTTGGCTAAGCCAACTGCTTAGCCACGGGGCCCGCCCTTATTTATTTTATTAAACTGAATGTTTCTTCCTAGAAAGACTTCGAAAACCAAATTTCTTTAATTTTATTCCTTAATACCTTCTGACTCACTATTACTAGAAGTAATTCATAATACATATTCACATATTGCTATATATTTGTATGTTGCTAGACAAATATTTTCTAACAATAAACACTCTGCAACCAACTCATTCTTGTCAAAAGTTTAATGAGATTTTCATGCCAGCTGCAAACCCAGAAATTTTGGTACTGCTACCTTCAATTCTTTCTGCATCTTTCTGCATGGATGGCCAAACAGAGGGTTCCTGAATGTATTATAAGCAGCTTGACTATTCCAAACAGAGTATAGGTTTTGGGTTTTTTTATATTCAAGTTAATAGCAGTCTTAAACTTCAGCGTTTTGTGAAATTACATATTTTTAACTGACTCCTATCATCAGCCTTGATACTTAGGGATTGCTAACATTTTGAAAATTATCCATTGTTTGTACTTAATTATAAATTACTTATTTCCAAAGACACAGCCCCACCTTATTATTGGTCTCTCCAGTGTCTTGACCCACCAGAGTACTATATAATGACAGTGTGGGGTACTTTTCATACACAAAATTCCGAATTTAAAGCCAGAAGGAATCTAGAGAATTATCCATAGTCATTTTTTGGATAATATTACTAAGGCAAAGCAGAAGATAGTGCCTTGTCCAACACCACACAGGATATTGGTAGGAAACCTATTACATAAAGCAAAAGAGCTAGCAGCTCTGGATTATTTTACAAACACACTCCAAGAACTGTGTGCTGAATGACGATAATGCATAAGCATGAAGCACCAGAAACATAACAACTTGGTGAACATTGGACAGTGTCCTAAATTGTGGTCAACTAGCAAATAATGTACGCAGGACTGAGCTTCAGAAAGAACATGATCCTAAATAAATTCGGTGTGTGGAAGAAATAAGCCAAGAAAGGGGATACATGGAGTTTGAGGGCACAAAATACAAAACAAACAAAAAATATGTAAAGTAAATGAAAGCTTCCTGGCAGGAGGGAAACAGAAAGGAACTAAAGATATAAGGAGGACATCACCAAACACTTTTCACGAGCAAAAAACTCAACCTAATTTCTATAATAATTCCAGGTAAGAGAACCTGTCCATGCCCATCTTTTTGCATTTTAAAATCAAAGAAATCTAGTTTTTAAGATAATTATTACTTACCAAACCTGCTATTGGTGTGGACAGTCTATTGATCTTCTTAATGACACCAGGTTTAAGCTTATTAATCAAACTGAAAGTAAATAAAGAAATAACATATGCAATTACAAGAATGCCAATATCACTTTAGTGTTTTTTATAACATTCTCAAAAATCATATGTGTCACCATTCCATCCCCAATATGTTATTCAGAACCAAGAGCCCAACAGAAAGCAAACAACCAATGAAACAAGTCGAGAACGTAGTAAGAAGAAGAGCACTGCAAACAATGGTGGCAGTCCTCTTAGACCGTATAGACACGCTTCTATATCCACAGCCACGTCCTTAAAAATAGTTTCACATTTATTAAAGCAAGGTAATATTTGATTCTGTTTCAACAGCCAGTTCAAGAATCTCCTTAATTATAATTTAGTTCTCTTGGCCCTAAGAATACTTTCTTCCATTGATCATTTTCATTAAATTTTTTTCTCAAACTGATTCTTATTTTATTTTATTTTGCTGAGGTAGATTCACCCTGAGCTAACAGCTGTTGCCAATCTTCCTCTTTTTGCTTAAGGAAGACCTGCCCTGAGCTAACATCCATGCCGATGTTCCTCTATTTTGTATGTGGGTCGCTGCCATAGCATGGCCACCAACGAGTGGTGTAGGTCCGAGCCTGGGAACTGAACCCAGGCCACTGAAGCAGAACACACCGAACTTAACCACTAGGCCATGGGACCAGCCCCCTGATCCTTACTTTAAAAGGTAGCTGCAAACCATATTATTTTGCCAGATTTAAAGGATGCAGTGGAACTCATCCAAAGAGCCAAGTGGTCCTTATTGGTAACTCATTCAAGTCCATGATTGATTGCTTTGTTACCATAGCAGAATGACTGTGTGAAAATCAAATTAAATGTACCAGAATGCCCTAAAATAGGCTAACAGTTACCTCAGAATCTAATGTTGAACAAGTTTAAGTTGCTATGACAGAATCTGCAGAGATGTCTCTAAGTCTCCATACTCTAGAACGCTAAAAAAACCAGCGCTTTCATGACTGCAACTCAGAGTACAATTTTTGGTTCTAAATCTAGATTATTGTGAATTCTATTTTTTGGTTGTTCGCTGACACAGTGGCAGGCCATGTAGATATTTAATACTATAATAATACTTTTCTATGAATGCTAGCTTGGTTAATTAATCATTAATCACTGCCCCAAAACAGCAACTTGAAACAACGATTTTCCTATTCAATAATCCATCCACAAAAAACAACTCAATTCTGTAACAGAGCTCCAAAAGCAAGCAAGGAAAGAAGAAAGACTCAAACATTCGTAATTTACTGGTCTCCTCTTCACAATGGGCGACAGAAAAAAAATATCTGACCCTTGTGGAATGTCACTCCTTCAACATTCCAGAGATTTATATATAAACTCGAGTGTGCTAAAAATAAAAAGACAAAAGTCTCAATTTAATAACCTTCAGAATGTTGTTCAACAGGATTCAAAATTACAAAACAGTGGCTTATGAAGACTTAGTGTGGTGAACAAAAGATGTTTTTCTGTTTTCAGAGTTTCTTCACACAAAGATCTTTAGACAACTTAATAAAGATAATAAAACCATCCCCTTGACTTTAAGCATTTCCTAGAGCTGTCATTCCTTGATACCTAATTTCTGATTCGTACACTGAAAGCCATGTAGGAAGGAAGGCTCTCTCTCTTCATGGCCTCATTACTTTTCTTTAATCACTAGCTGAGGAGCTAGAAAAAGAATTGAGCAGATTTATAAGAAACGACACTTCCAAATTAATTGTTCTAGTTCCTCCCCATTACCAGGTATCTCTTTAATTCTATTACCAGTGGCATTCTTGCAATGCACAGAACTAATAACTGAATCATGACTTAATAGGAACATAATTCTGGCATAGTATAAATCAGGAAATTAGTAACAGTTGTGGATCACTAGCTTGGCAGTGACTTTCCTATAGTAATTTGGATCTTAAAATGTAATCTTTCACTGATATAAAAAATTAGAGACCAATATGAGCTGGGGCAACTTATAATATGTCAGGAAAGTCTGGCATCTGTTGTCCTTATTAGAGGAGGAGTATCATAAATTCCTCCTCCACCCATTCGAGTCACTAGTGACTGGCCAGATCATTCACTTTCCCTATTTACCTCACTTATCAGTTTTGTATTACTGTGTTAGTAATATCAAGGGCATTTTTTTTTAACATAGTTTCTGGAATGGATAATAACACAGCCTACTCTCAATTAAGTCAGCCAAAGGAAGTAAGGGATGGAGGTAAAGGAAATAGCATGGATAAATGATGTCTCCCAATGAGTTAACTGACTTCTCCCTCATCAGAAGGTTCCAGAGCTATTACTGAGAAACAAAATACACACAGTGGACTGACGTCCTTCTCCACTCTTGAGCCTCCTGGTACATGTACGAACATGGAAATAACCACAAGGGAAAAACAACCCTCTGGATAACACATAAACCCACCCTCTAAAAAGTCATGTCACTAGAGAAAAACGATGTTTTATTTTGTCAATAGTTAAAATGGTATCAGTTCTAAGCACTAGAATGTGGAGAAAATGCACATACAGTTTTGGCAAATACTGAACATCGAATAAAATTATTAATCATGAATAATTATTTTAATATACAATTAAAGGAAGAACTTTTAGGATATTTCTTCTAAGGAGAAACATAGGTTTTATAAAATCTAAACTATGAAATTTAAGTATATCTAAAGAAATAGGGGCATAGTCTTAGGTCCAAAACAATATAAGTGCCATACAAGAGAGGTACCACACTCTTTTACAAATAAAACTTTTTTGCATAATAAGTGTTCTTCAACTACACATGTGGAATTCCTAAAGGCAACACTGACTTCAGGTCATTGGCTCTATTCAAGAATCATATAACATGATAACCTTCCAGACGCTTCTATGCACAAGGAACTAGAGGCAGTCAAGGGTCTGCATCCTCATGTCCCATCCCTCTAATACTATATAGAATTATACCTCTACTCCCCCAAGCCTTCCCTCTGACTATGGCATTAAGCTGGTTATGTGCTTTGTTAGCCCATCAGACATTTGCTCTCTTGGTAAGATTAAAGCCGGAACAGAAGACATCTGGTCATTTGATCACTCCCATGGTAGAACACTCCTCTCCTTCAGCTCATCCCTCTAGTTGTTGTCCACTTTCTTTTCTTCTCCTCCCCAAAACAGATTGTCCACTCCCTCCAAAGGAGCTAAGTTACACAACAGATGCTAGAAAGTTGCCTCTGTTCAGAAACTTTGTCACAAGTCAATGTGACCCGACTTGAAATATAACTCAGGTGACACTCCAAGAAAACTGTAAATAAAACACAATATGATGTCTACCTCATCATAAAAGGTTTTAATGAGAACTAGAATTTGATGCTCTGTCCCTTAGTCTCCAGAAACTAGTTCCCAATACCAAACCTCATTCTCCCCTTGATCGGAAAGCTCTTCAGCAGAGGTAGAAAACTTAGGGACACCTTTCAACTTCCTATTTCCAAAGACTTTTCCAAATGTACCAGAGAGACTGACATCGAAAAGTACATCAATACACTAAGAGTGAACTTCTTAACCTATAAATTATTTGGTTAGCCACTCTCACATACATATTTCTAATATCTTTCTGTCAACGTTTTCTAAATACATCCCCCCACATTAGTTAAACTTTTCCTACTAGTAACTAAAGTTTTTTTAAAAGATGTAATAAAGATACTACACATTTCCTTATAAATTAAAGAGCAATGATTTTTGTTTTATCTGTTATTTGGCACTTATTCATTTACCTAGTTTTTTTCTAGATGCAAACTCTGCTTAAGAAACATTTGAATGCTTACTAAAGACAGAAAACTGTGGGGCTGGCCCCGTGGCACATAGTGGTTAAGTCCAACACACTCCGCTTCGGCGGCCAGGGTTCACGGGTTCAGATCTCAGGCATGGACCTATACCACTCGTCAAGGCACACTGTGGCGAAAAAAAAAAAAAAAAAAAGAGGAAGATTGGCAACATATGTTAGCTCAGAGCAACTCTTTCTCAGGAAAAAAAAAAAAAGAAAGAGCACTGTGCTGGGATCAGCCACAGAGCAACCAGACAGCAAAGCTGCTAATGCAAGGATATCCTCTCATTCCAAACAGCATCTCCAGCAAGGTACCTGGCACGTAGTAGCTGCTTTAAGAATATTTGCTAATTAGACCATTAGCAGTGAGCACGATGCAGTGTACACAGAAACTGATACATAATAATGTACACCTGAAATTACACAATGTTATAAACCAATATGACCTCAATAAAATAATTGAAAAAAAAAATTTGCTAAAATCCACTCCTAACTTTTAATGTAGAAATTTTCCCGTGAATGATTCAAAACCTCTATCTTCTTTATAGAAATAAATTTAGGAAAACTTTACCTTTAGTCTCACTCAGATGCTAGAAATGGCTTTTTGCTTTTCCCAACAAGGACACCTCCCCTCTGCTATTTTTTCTGTTGCCAGACAAGTCAAACTTTAATGCTCTCTTCTAATTGTCAAATATTGATCAAGAGAGTAAACTATCAGATATATTAATTTGGACTGGTTACCTTAAGTAAATTCCTTACTAAGATTTTTAATTAATTACCTCAATCTAAATTCATAAAGTATAATATTTTAAAAATAAAAACCACATTGAGTAGTTAGCGACCACGTTTCCATGGGTAAAGGAATAACCATATATAATTTAAAATTTTCAAGTTTAAAAGCATTCAATATAAATATTTATGATCACTACAGTATTGTACTGGTAGTAAAAATGTTTAATTTCTAGAATTCCTGTGATAGTAATTTTGAATAGTGCTGAATTAGGACACAACACAAATAAATAGTTAACAATACATGCTAAGATGGAAAATTGTGTGAAACAGCAACAAGTCAGTATCAACACAGCTGATAATTATCATTTTATTTTGACAGAACTTTCCTATTTAGCCTCACTGTTATGCCAGAAGCATCCTGAAGTGAGTCTAGCAAAGCATGAGTGGTCTGACAGCAGATTCCTTTTATTCTAAGCAAC